TTCTTTCTCTCTTTCTCTCTTTCTTTCTTTCTCTCTTTCTTTCTTTCTTTCTTTCTTTCTTTCTTTCTTTCTTTCTTTCTTTCTTTCTTTCTTTCTTTCTTTCTTTCTTTCTTTCTTTCTTTCTTTCTTTCTTTCTTTCTTTCTTTCTTTCTTTCTTTCTTTCTTTCTTTCTTTCTTTCTTTCTTTCTTTCTTTCCTTCTTTCCTTCTTTCCTTCTTTCTTTCTTTCCTTCTTTCCTTCTTTCTTCTTTCTTTCTTTCGTTCTTTCTCCTTCCGTTCTTCAAGAAGTCATCTGTTGCTCTTTCCAGAATGGCAGTATAGGCTCCAAAGTTCCAATGAATTTGGACAGTCAGTTGGAAGAGGTGAAAACTGAACTTGCTGTCTTGTGCTCTTCATGACCAAAATGATATCTGATTTGCCAAGGTAGACATTCTTTCAGTAATCAGATTTCCTTGTGTATTATTTACTGAGACTGTCATGTACTCTCATAAGCTCTGATCATCAAGTATATTTCTCCCTCCTAGAGTACTTCTCCCTCTTCTCCCAGTTTGGCTCATTAAGTTTTTCTTAAGAATAACAATGGATATTTACTGCACAAGAAATAATCTGAGATAATACTTTTGCACAGACTGCCAAACCCCATTATTTTCTGTATTCTAAATTCAAACTGTTACAAACCCCTTCATTTTCAATAGAAAATTAATTTTGTTACAATAAGAAAATATTTCCATATTAATATATTAATTAATATAATTATTAAATTCTTGTGAGGCTCACAAGTATCTCTTATGTCTGCTTTTTCTGGTTTGAAATAGATGAATTAGTAACATTTCCATATCTGAATCTTTCTCGTTGTTGGAGAGATTTCTCTACCATGTATCTACATATGATATTTATCTGATGAATCAAGGTATGTGACAGGTACCATTGACCTCGGAGGATCTTACTCTTTTTGTCAACTAATATGTTTTATGGAATGTTTCCTAACATTTTTCCCACCTGAATAGTTTAACATGATGTATACATTTTGCCAGGATTGATTCGTTGCAAATAGTAACAGACCGAACATTTAGCCTTTTTCCTATTTCGTGAGATCAAAAATTTTCTGCAACTAGCTGCTGTCATTCTATCTAGGCTGGTAACTAATAGTTTTATGTGTTGTGCTATAAATGCAGAGTTCAATGTTGAGAGTTCATGAGGGAAAGCTGGGGGAAGAAATTCAGCTTTTAGTACAGGCAGAACCACTATTTCAAAGTAAGTAGTTGTATGCAGTGTATAATTCATGTTTTTCCCCCTTGAAAATTTTGGTTTTTTTCTACTCATAGCTGTGCATTTAAAAGCAGAATGTTTAAGAATGGATGTGAGAGTCTCCTCACACTAACTGAGAAAAAGCTACTGCTAGTCTGAGTTTAGGCCTTCATATGCTAATATTTGCCTTTCTCATAAACTGGTAGAATATGCAGTTTTGTTATCATTAGCCAAGATTGTCTTCAGATCTTTCAGGACAAAGTTCTTTTTTTGACGTTATTCTTGAGCTTTCAAGTAGTTTGACATGTTCTACGTAAAAACAGCACAATCTTCTGAAGTTGCCAAATTAGTGATATTAATGAGCTCCCATTTTTAAGTACTAATGGTTTCCTGTATAAAAGAATTATACTTACCGCAATCAAAGATTGCTCATGTTTAAAACTGCAGGTTATCAACTTACTATTGTACCTGTTAGCCATTTATTTCAGTCTCCTGCTACTCTGGTACAGGGCAACTCTGTCTTGAACATTCCTTGTCTGCCAAAATATATGTGTCTTGTTCAGACCAGATATTTTTATTTAAATTGGATTATGTAATAAGAATTCATGACTGAGTGTTAGGAAATAGAACTCAATTCTGTTTATGTTGTGGTTTGGCAGGATAGCAGATACAGGCTTTCTTAGCCAAAGATCAAATGAAGTAAATAGTTTCCATTTCTATGTGTACATACAGATATTATCTTGCAATATTTGAAAGACACTGACAGGAGACAGATGATGGAATGACTTTCTTCTTTTGTCTCAGCAAAAAAACTTGCACTGCTGCTCTGCTGTGCAAATAAATCATTATCTCAAGTCCTGAGTGGCTTAAAAGCACAGAAGTGGCTCGAAATAACCCATCAGTGACATCCAAATAGTCCTGTTTGTAAATATAATTAACACATCTAGAATAAACAGAAAATCAGCTGTCTTCAGTGTTGTGGGACTGCACCAAAACTGGTTTTAAAAGATACTGAGTATAATTTAAAGTTATTCCATAAGGTTAAACAATTTGGATCTCTCCCTGTCATATGTTCAAATTCAGAATCCTTTGAATAGTGTTGCTACTGCAGTGCAAGTAAAATGAGAGTCATACTCTATCATATGTAAATATTAAACTGAACAGATTTTAAATTCCCATTGGCTGGGCAATGGAGTAATTCCATAACTTCACTGAAGTTACTTTGATTTTATAGTAACATAGTATAGCCCTTGGTCTCTTATCTTTTGTAATGTATGCTGTGCCGAATTTTAATGTTGCTCAGGAATGAACAGATATATCAATCATACTTTAGCAAAGCCTCAAAATACTTTCTAGTCACATGGATTATCACAAAATTACTGACAATGCAAAAGGACACACAATTCTGATTTTAATAGTTAGCTGCATGGCCATGCTCATATATGAAGAATCTTTATTGAAAAGTGACATAGCAATTGAAACAAAATACAGTTTAAAATTGTAGAATTTATAATAATAATGTTTTGATTATGCACTGTGTAAGTAAGGATGTAGGTTGAAAATTTTTTGGTAAGTGATTATAATGTAAGTTTGAATGTCTTAGATGCCATTGACCACAGCTGAACTTCTAAATAGGATCCAAACTGTCTCTGATGGAGCAGCCAAAATTGCCAGTAGTTTCTATACATGCTAGCTGTCATGAACCTGAGGTGATAATCAAACGGATGTGAAATAACTAAGAATAATTTTGCATTAGATTGTGTGTCAAAGCTGAGTGTTGTCTGTTGAACATCTATGCTGTCTACTTACAGCACCTGTAAGGAAAACATAAATGTAATATATTGTCTCTCTCATCATGGAAAGCTTGTTGCTTCTATCAGCGTCAGTGAGTCATCTTCTTTCCTTACTTTCTACTGAAGTATAATACAGAGGTTGTTTGCACTATTCTGCCATGAAATAGTACAAATGTTCTCTTGGGCACATTGTTTAACATTTATAGGTGTGAAGTGGCCATTTTGTTTGCACAACTTGTGTTAGAAAATACATTTAAAAATATCTATGGCTCCAGTTATGCAGATATGGTAGTGGATACTTTCCCAATTATCTTTATATAATTAGAAGTGAATTACTCTCTTTAAAATTGCTTCAATTGTTTCATTGATTGTTTAATGTTTTGCTTGTGTCTCTCTTTTTGACTGTATCTGTGAATTACAGAACTCTTACAGATACCTATCTGGTACATGCTAAGCTCTTCAACCACTCTGCATGCTTAGACAAGATTCAAAAAGAGAGTAGAACGTTTAAATTTCTGGTTTATGTCTCTATTCTTCTTCAATGACACTTGAAGTTCTGTTAATGTATTTTTATCTTCAAAAGTCTAAGTGTTTCTACAGCTTCCTGTCTACAAAATCATACAGATAGAAAGGCACTGCCAGAAAGGCTGGGCCTCAGATACAGTATGTTTACAATTTAATAGGGAATGTCCTGTTTAGTTGCAATATTTTCAGTCTTTGTGCAGGGAATCACCTGTAGGACTTGTCACCTCAAGCAGCTGTGAAACAGTCATTCCTTCATTCTTCTGGCTTGGGAAAGGGTCTTGGAAGGGGAGCTTTCCATGACTGCTTTTGAAGCTCGGGAGTTGCCTGTATGCTGGCTCATGACATATCTCATCGGATCTCCTTTTCTCCCTGCTGTGCTAGCATGGTTTGGCATGGCCACTCTCAGAAGCCCGCAGGGCATCCCAAATCCCCTGGACCTCCTCCCGTACCCCTGTCCGCAGGTAGCCAGAGCCTGTGCTGGGGTCATGCAGTGCACCAGGACGGGCTACTGCCAGCAGTGGGAAAAACGCTATTGAAACGTCTTCACTTCCGTTCCTGGCCTCTCGTGTATTTATTTATCAAAATGCTGAGTTTCAATTTAACAAGATTTGTTGTTTTCCTGTCAATAGTGACATGCTGGTTACTTAAACTTTATTGAGAAAAACCATTTGAGCTGCATCCCCTTGGTGCAAATTAGATTAACTAGAGATTGACATCTGTGACCACTTGAATGGTATATAGTACCCGTGCTTCAGTGTCATTAAAACTAATGGATGTATATACCTCATGTCTTTATTTTCAGTCACCGCTGTCTTTATTCTGTGTGCATAATAATTAGTTTTCAGAATTTGCAGTGTACATCCCCAGGCCATTTGCTGGATATTTATGCAATTAGTCTAATGAACTTTGCTTAGGAGTTGCTATGTGATTAACAGTCATTACCTTCTTGGATTGCCAGTTTTACAAATTACCTAGAGATTTCATGTTCCGCAATTTTATTTGCAGCATAAAGCCAAAACATTTTTGTGGTAAACTCGCCCAGCTAACGAACAACAAAGGCATGCTGGTTGTGGCTGTGCTCCAAGGGTGATCTACTGTGATCCTCCGTCCCTGTCAGGAGCTGACAGAACAAGCGATGCCAACGGAGCTGTGCGCGGTTTCCTGGGGTTCGTCACCAGCACGTTCCTCGCTGGGGCGGGCTGGGTGAATGGATCAACAGCGAGGGAGGGAACAGGAACACGCCGGGTCTCGATCTGCAGGGAGCTCTCCGTGCGCTCGGTGCCCTGCGCGACCGCGGGTTTCCCGCAGCGGGAAGGAGCGGGAGATTTCCCGGGACCCGGGGCACTGCCCCTGCCGCCGGGGGCGGGCGTGCTGCCTCCTCCGACACGGGCGGGTGCCGAGCTGGCCCGGTCCGCCGGGGTCAGGCTGGAAACCAGCGCTCCCAGGGCGGGAAGGAGGGGATAAGCCGGGGCGGGGGCAGCCAGCGGGGATCGGCGCCGGCGGCGTGGCCGCGGCCGGGCCCGTCCTCCGCCGCTCGGCGGTCACCGCCCGGGGCCGGACTGCAGCGGGCTCGCCGCCTCCCCCGCCCCGCCAGCGGAGCGAACCACTGCGGCTCTCCGAGGAGGTGAGGCACCTGTCACCCGCGGGCGGCGGCGGCGGGAGGCGGCCCCGCGGCGGGCGGTGGCGGCGGCTCGGGGCGCGTCCCGCGGCGGGGGCGCGGCGGGCGCGGCGGGGTGGCGAGGCGGGCGGCGGCGGGAGCGCGGCTGCGGCGGGCGCGGCTCCTCAGCCTCCCCCGCGCCGCCGCCGCGGGTGTGCGCGGAGCCGTGTCCGTGCCCCGCTGCCGCCGCCGCTGCTGCCGCTGCCTGCAATGGCGTTGAGGCGACGCGGCGGCGGCTGCTGCTGCCTCCTGTCAGGCGGGCGGCGGCAGCGGCCGCTCTGCGCAGAGGAGGCGCGGGGGCAGCGCTGAGCCGGGCGTCCGGGGGAGCCCGTCGCGGCTGCGGGCTGGGTAAGGCGGGGTGCGCGCTGGGAGGGAGAGGCGCCGGGCTCCGTGAAGAGCAGCCCTGGCATCGGGCTTTTGTTCCACGGGGGCGGCAGGCGGCTGCCCGGGCACTGCCCCGCCGCAAAGGTGCTGCCGCCCGCGGCCCCGCCGCTCCTGTCCGGCGGCGCGGCACGGCTGCCCGAGGAGGAGCCGCCGCGGGGGCTCCAGCGCTGTCCGCTCGGGTTAAGTTTATTGCCTTCTGCGAGAGCGGCGGGTCTCGCCGAGAGCCGCTGCCGCGTGGCCTTTCCAGTCGACCGTGGCGGCGTGGAGGGGCGCGGGGGCTCCGGGCGGTGGTGCCGGCACCGCGTGTGCACAGGCGGGCACAGCGAGGCGTCCCCGCCTCGGCGGGAGCGGCGGCGGCGCGGCAGGGCGAGGGCTGGGGAGGAGGGACGGAGGGAAAGGGAGAAGGGTTTGGCTCTGGGTGACCGCCGTGCTTCCCTGCGCTGGGCTGCGGGGGCCGGGGCCGAGTCCCTCGGGCCGGGGGTGGGAGCGGGTCCAGCCCCTGGCTCCGCTTCTGCATCTACGCGTTGGGCACCTCCAGGTTCCTCCAGATGTTAAAACCACTGCCTGTGTCAAGGGGCAACTTTCTCTAACGGGATTTCACTTTCTTTATCATGTCAACTGAGGGTGTTAACTTTGGGTGCATTTTTTTGAATTCCCTCGAGCTGATGGTTAATTTGCCTTTCTAAGCATATTATCTTTGATTGTATTTCTACCATTATGTTTCTATGAGAGAGGAAAGATTGTCTTACAGTGGCTCACATTTCATGTCACATTGCCTTTCTTTTGAAAAGCATGCATATTTGTGCCATGGTATTTGAGAATGATAAGATGTGATAATCTGTTCTTTCACTATGGAATGATGTTATAGATTCTAAATTTTTCAACAGTCAATTTGAAAAAGTTTTTAATGGTAAGTTTTCGTGTGTCTGTGCAGCATTGAGTTGTAATTTTTTTTTTTTTTTAGTATTTTTTTGTAAACGTATCAAATAACAGTAAGTGGAAATTGTGACATTTAAAGTAAACCTGACATGGTTCAGAAAACCCTCCTTTTTATTGCAGGTTGAATCAGCCCTTGTTCTTGAGTCCTCGGTTGTGCTGCTTTGTCGGAATTGACTGCATGTGTTTAGATATTTGCCTCCAGATCTTCTGTGGAGTATGTTCCTGGTGAAGGGCAGTGGCCCCTGAGGAAAAACACTCCTCAAGCAGAATCTCAGCTGTGACAAACTACTGAGAGTGGTGCCACAGAAACTATGCAAGCAGGTTTTGCGGTCCTGGAGTAAACATGATGAAAACAGAGTCTTCAGGAGAAAGATCAACCCTCCGAAGTGCCTCTCCTCACAGAAATGCTTACAGGACTGAGTTCCAGGCGCTGAAAAGCACCTTTGATAAACCGAAATCAGATGGAGACCAAAAAGCGAAAGAGGAAGGAGAGGCCTCACAGAGCAGGGGAAGGAAATATGGCTCAAATGTCAATAGGATCAAGAACTTATTTATGCAGATGGGCATGGAGCCCACTGAAAGTACTGGAGTTGCCCCTAAAACCAGGGGGAAGGGTGGCCCTCCATCACCTCAAAGACGAATTAGGCCCAAAGAATTTGTAGAAAAAGCAGATGGTTCAATTGTAAAATTGGAATCATCTGTCTCAGAAAGGATTAGTAGATTTGATACTATCCACGATGGTCCTTCCTATTCCAAGTTTACTGAAACTCGGAAGATGTTTGAGCGAAATGCTCATGAAATGGGACATTCAAATCGCTATTCCCCAAAGAAAGAGAAAATCATTTCCAATGAGCTTCCGGATGAGTGGTGTAGCTCCAAGTCTCACAGAGGCAGCACTGATTCGCTGGACAGTCTTAGCCCACGGACAGAGACTGTCTCTCCAACTGTGAGTCAGCTCAGCGCAGTTTTTGAAAACACTGACTCACACAATGCCATCGTTGTAGAAAAGTCAGAAACCAACGAAGAGTACTCTGTAACTGGTCACTATCCACTAAACCTCTCATCTAGTGTCACGAATATCCCCTCCCCTGTTGCAAACCTTGAGGGTTTCAGTCCTCTGAAAGAGGCTAGTACATGGTCTCCCCCAGCCAAACAGAGTACAGGCGTGATGTCTGTTGAGAACTCTCAGCAAACTAACACGCCTTCAACACCAAGACAGAAAGTGTCTACAGGCATTTCAACAGGTTCAAAAACAACTGAAGAAATAAAGACGAGCACAGAGGCAAGTGCCGATTCTGTTGAGAGCTCTGCATCAAGTCAACAGGGTTTGGTCAGCATGCGTGACAGGGAAAGATCTGTGGACCGCTGTTCTAGGAGTAAGTCAAAAACAGAGGCAGGAGTTTTGGTGCAACAAAAGGAACAGTCAGAAAATACAGAAGGTATCTTTGATCGATCTGAAGCTGCAGAATTAACAAGAAATGTAACTTCAGATGGTGATTTTGCCACAGATGCAGTTTCAGATGCTACCGAGTCCCATTATGATGAGACAAATGAAAAAGATGTGCATGAAGATGCCATTAATTTTCAGAGTTCCCACGTGTACATGCACTCTGACTATAATGTGTATCGGGTACGATCCAGATATAATTCTGACTGGGGAGAGACGGGTACAGAACAGGATGATCTAGATGACAGTGATGAAAATAACTGTTATGAACCTGATATGGAATATTCTGAAATTAATGGATTGCCAGATGAAGACGAAATCCCAGCCAACAGAAAAATACAGTTTAGCCGGGCTCCAATTAAGGTAAAGTTTCATATGTTCTTCTTTGCAGTTGGTTAATTTTCAAATGCAACTGTATTTGAAGGAGATTTTGACATCTGATCTCCTCTCTGAAAAGATTGCAGAGGGTCTTTTGATACATGTTTTTATTACAGTCAACCAGTGAACATAATCTTAAATGAAATAAGGCAGCTGAGCTCTGATGAACTCATGTAATTTCCTAGACTTCTTGGAAATTGAGAATTACAGCTGGGTTTGTAAAGTTTGAGAATTTTAACATGCAAGTTTTGACTTCCAAGACTGAACTGTAACCACATGGTGAAATGTCAATGTGGATATTTGATGGCCTTTGTGCTGCTTGTTTCTTTTCATTTGAAGTCACAGCTTCTTTAGATTCAATGGCTTTTCCTCAGCTCTCAGCAGATATTCTTGAAAGTACCTGTGTTTACAGACTCTGTCTCAAAATAGAGTGAGATTCTGTAGTGGAGGACAGTTAATACTCTGCGTCTGTATTCTGCGTCATTGTTTCTAGTAGTATTGTCGCTTTTTTAAAACAATATATGTTTATCTAGTATATCTTAGTGCTATAGAAGGGTGAAGTCAGTTGACTGAAACACCTAATGAAAAGTGTGGGTTTTGCAGCGCTGTTATGGTATGTTTTTAAGTACCTTGAAATTACAGCTAAGAATGTTGTTTCCAGTAGTTTTCAGTGCAAGAAGGAATAACTAGTCAATAACTAGTCATGTTTTGTTGTACCAGCTTTTCACTGCTGAGTCTCAGGGTTGAGTATTTTACTTCCTAATCGATTTTAGTGCATGTATATGGCGGTTTGACCCTGGCTGAAGATGCTAGATGTCTTAAACGGACAATTCAAAAACATAGTAATTTTTTGCAGAAATGGCTCTTAAAACAGCCTTATATAGTTGAGTACTTGAAGTGCAAACATTTTAAAATTAAAAATATGTAATGTGACTATTTTCATTGTGTGAGCTTAGCAATGAAAATCACTAAGTCAGTGAACAGAAGTTCCCCTATTGAAGTAATGTGATTTACACAATCTGCATTTACACTGCCTGTGGTTTAAGGAAGAGCAAGATGTATACTGTATTACGAAATTTTCATCTGAAGGAAGCAACCAAGTTTTCGCATCTGTTTGTTGTGGAGTGGAGGGAGAAGAACAGCCCTGTGTTCTTCATGCTTCGCGAGACTGTTTTTTACACTGAAACAAAACATTCCAAGACAAGATAATGCATTTTATTTTGTTTTGTTATATTTTATTCAGACTTGCATCATGAACCAAAAATTCTATGCATTTATTCTCCCTCTAGATTATTCCTACAATTGAACTAGGTAGTTTGTTGAAAATTTTGGGGAGGGGAAGTAGAGAAGCTTTGCATTACAAAGAATTATGGAAGTTGTCCCCCCACTTCCTTCCCCCTCAGGCTGTACTAACAGATAAGATGATCTTTTCGCTTCTAAAAGGTCTACCAGTTGTTTATGATGGTTCCAAAAATGATAACCCAGAAGGTGACTCTGCTAATTTTATTCTTGTGTTGGTCAGATTTTTCTACTGTTTCTGAAAGAGCTAACAGTGACATTTTTACTTCAGTATATTGTGGTTGTCTGTCTGAATCATGCTGTCATGCCAAGTGCTATAGGAGCATTTTCTCAATTATTTAGTTATAAATAATTTTCTTTTCAAGTTTTTCATGCTATGTTCATTTCAGATTACATATTGTACAGTAATAATAACAGTCCATCAAGAAAATGCTCTAAAAGTCATTTGTGTAAATAATGAAAGAGTACATTTGTCATGGGTTTAAGCATAAAGCACTCTTAACAAGCTTATACAAAGTAAAAGAATCATTGCTTTAATTATTCTAGCATCTTTTTTTGTAGATAGGAAGAAAACAGAATAAAAGCTGATCTGGGAGTGAACAATGTAGGAGGGATTGGGAGGTTTGGGAGAGCCCCTGCTTTTTTGTCTCTGGTGCCTCCAGTGCATGCAATCTTTTAGTCATGTGGGGAAGCAGAAGTGATACCGTGTGGAAAGCTTGCACTAGGAGGAAGAAGTGCAGCAAAAGTTGTGGAAAATTAAAAGCTGCTTCTTGAGCTTTTCCTCCCTCTGCAATGCTCTGTAGTACCCTCGGCAGTGTCAAGTGGTGTAAGCCCTGGCAGGCTGCCACTACCATCAGGTCACTGCTGGGCCACGCTGCCGTGGGCAGGGACCCGGGAAGGGCAGCTGGAAAAACCCCTCGTGGGTCCTCGTGGCTTCTGAGTCTCTGGGATGCTGTATTCCTTCTCCAACAGCATTGCCAGTTCAGCGTACTGCTGGGAGGTTGGGAACTGGCTCTGGCAAGAGGTTTCTGCTCAGCAGGTAGGTATCAATGAGCAGTGCAGGCGCCATAGGGGACTTGCACTCTGTCCCCTTGCACAGCTCTAGCGAATGAACTTACCCAGTCACTCCCTGTACCTATCTGTTATGTGGGGATGATGCTTGCTAACTGACTAGACAGCAACTACTTAGGAATTTTTCTTAACATGCTATTTTGTGTGTTAGTGGTTATAACTGGTTTCATTAATAGTTTGCTGAATGTCACCTCATGCATGATGTGACTAAAAGAAAGAGGAAAATATAAAACAATGTAGGAGTATTTTCTGAACTGGTGAAAACCTATTTCTCTTTATGAAAATGAAGCAATTTGTATTTAACTACTCTGCTAGATAGGGGTGTGCAAAGTTCAGCCAAAACTCTAGATGTTTAGTGCTGGTTTTACAGTATTGTACCTTCACTCTCCTCTTGCAGGTGAGCTCTGAAATAATTAACAAAATTGGTATTTGTATGTGTAACCTGTGAAATCAATGGGTAGTTATTGTCATAAAGTTGTTACTTGAAGGTCTCAGCAGATTTAGATAAACATCTTTGGACTATTTTTCTGTATGATTTTTCAGGTAGACATGTTAAGGGACTTTTTGTCCCTCTAGGGGAAATACTGGGGACTATGAGGAGTAATGAAGTATAGGCAGAAGGATGAATAAATAAAATATTACTCATCAAACTGATAAAGACTGAATTCTGCTTGTCTCCCGAGCAGGAAGATCACCCAGTTATTGAGAAACTCACTATAAACATTCAAGTCAATGCATGCAGGAAATCCTACTCTGTTACAGTCTGTAATTTTGCTATCAGAGATCCCATCCTCCATGGGCCATTTGCTCTGGTCTGGGATTATGGGATATATTTGCTGATCTCATCTCTGTTGAAAGTTCCTTTAGGAGTAGGTGACAGCCTAGGGGCCACTGCAGGCTTAGAGAGCTTCTAGGTATTTGGAGTGTGGCATCACTGATGTGAGTCTGTGACGTGTGTGTGTGTCTGTGGGAACTTTATCAGCGCTGGCCTGCTCTCATGATGAGGTATTGTGTTTGTGCTCAGGGACAGAACCAGAGCTCTCCAAGGTGAGTATAAGAGGTGAAGAAGATAAGTAAATGCATTGAGGAAAAAGTTATCCTGGTTTTGACAGGGATACTTTTCTACAAAAAAAACCAAACTAAAACAAAACCCAAACCAACAAACAAACAAAAAACCAAAAAAACCCAAAACACCTCAACAAGAAACCCCAACAAAAATCCCCACCAAACCACCCCATCAAACCAGCAGTTGGATGATTTATTGTTTTTTTCATTGAGTTTTGCAGGGTTTCTTGAGGGTTGGGTTATTATGCCACTTCCCAAGCACTGTGGGCTAATTGGACAAGGTTTGCCAGTAGTGCAGAATTCATTAGTTCCTGGCTTTCCAAGCTCTAGCAAATGGAAATGTATTGATTGTCCAAATCATCGTCCTTTTTGAGCTACATTTCCTCCATCCTGGGTACAATTAGAATGGAAGGGTAATGTTCACCTCTTCTCTTTCCAAGTCCAGAATTTCTGCTGTCTTGATAGCTGATGGCTGCATCTTCAGTTAGTGCCTGATTTTTGGCACCAGGTACCAGTTAAACCATTTAAAGCTGTTAGCAGCAATTGGTGTCACCTGCTGAGTCTCGTTTTGCAACCTTCTGCTCCTCTGACTTGCTCCTACCAGCCAAGGGGTTGGGCAGTATGTGATCAGACCGTATGGCAGACAGCAGGGAACTTGTGGTGCTGCACGGGATTTTAGCTCAAGCTGCTGCTGCAGTTTTCAGTGCTCCGTAAAGCTTCCTCAGGGTGCAGTGGTGAAGGGACATCTCTGCAGACCTCTGTAAGTTTTGGGGTAGATTGGAGAAAGGGTAACAGGAAGGAAGGTGTATAGCAAATGGCTCTTCCATGCTTCAGCTAATTCAATACGAAGGGATTATAATCATAGTGCTCGTGCCTCATATTGTGCTTCCTCTCTTTTGTCATGCAGCATGACTGAATTTTATACCCCACAACACTTCAGTTTTCCAGATCATATTTTGTTCAGATGGTCTTCAGGAGTTGGAACTTGTGGTTCTCTCTGTCTCTCTCTCGCCTTTGAAGACATTTTACCAGTGCTCTGACTGTAGTTCATTGTAGAATACAAATGATGTTTGTATTTAAAGTTGTTTTGAATTTTTTTTTATGAACTATATGATGATTTTTCTTATTAAAAGTTCAAGGAATGAATCATTCTTTTAGTTATTCCTCATTTCTGTCACTAAAATCATAGAATCATACAATGGTTTGAGTTAGAAAGGATCTTAAAGATCACGTAGTTCCAACACCCCTGCTGTGGGCAGGGACACCTTTCATGACAAGACTTTGAACACTTCCAGGGATGGGGCATCCACAATTTTCTGGGCAACCTGTTCACCACTCTCATGGTAAAGATTCTTTTCTAAATATCTAATCTAAACCTATTTTCAGTTTGAAGCCATTTCCCCTTTCTTGTAAGTATGCCTTCAGGTACTGGAAGGCTGCAATTAGGTTACCCCTCTTTTCCAGGTTGAACAACCCCAATTCTCTCAGTCTTTCCTTGTCGGAGAGATGCTCCATCCCTCTATCTTGGCAGCCCTCTTCTGCATCTGCTC